AACGGTATTGATATTATTTTTATTTGCCTTTTTTTCAAAAATTTTAATGAACACATTCATTTGGAACAAGGCAAACGGAAGTAGCATTATTTGAGCAAACTGTTTAAAGAATTGAGAGAAAAAAACAACAACAAACCGATAGAAAAGATTGAAGCATGGGAGATTTCAAGAAGAAGATAAGATAAAATTATCTTTAAAAAAAAATATTGACGTTCCTTGAGCAAACAATTAAATTATTTATGAAAATAGCTCAATGTGATTAGATTCGCTTTATTCTCGCTGATATTTTGAAAAGTAATGATTGATAGGAACAAGGTAAAAAAATGAAAGCTCCCTATTCATAGGTTTTATTTTTTGAAAAAGGGAGGAATAATTTTAAGGATCATCGAACCATTCACGTTGTATCCCAGAATTCATTGATTCGTACGATATGCACCACGTCACTAAGTTGTATATCAAACAAAATATTTGAAATGTTACCTGATGATTTATGCATTCGTCCAACAGATTGTATAGTTATGTAGTTCACGTTTACTGCCCAGTATTCTACTTATTCGAGAGAAAAATAATCTGACATTACCTAATGATAAAAAATACTGGTTATTGTAAAATGAGTTGAATTCATTTCAGTCTATTCAGTGTAAAACATTTGACTTATGGTGAGCAATGTGTTCTTAAATTTCGTAATTTACTCGCTCAGACAGTCATTACTAAATAACGCCTGACGGTTTATAAATCAGAAGGTAAAAATGGAGGGTTGAATACACACACGACAGATATAACAGCAGACTAAAGGCATGATATTGATATGCAAGCATATCAGAAGATATAGTTACACGAAATACTGGTTAGATATAAAGTGGTTTGAGGCAATGAATAGAAACTACTGGAAATAGATTTATAACCTGTTTCATAATGAAAAAGACTCATTTCCAGCATGTTTTGTAAAAGTGATGTCGACAAGATTTTTAGAAATTGAAATATCTTCAAACAATTATTTGTCATTGAATGCATCGGAAAATTCCTGCCTTCTCATTACTTATTAAGTTGTCTTTTGGTGTTTCGACAGTTCGATGCTTTCCAACCTAACATCACAAACACAGTGTCTATCAGATACCTTTGAATTATGAACCAGATACTGAAAATGGATAAATCCTAAATTTACTCAGGAAATTCTATTACCTGTTATGTCATATACAATACAAATGATGAAACATTTTATTCCTTACTGGAATTTCTAGTATATCACATATAGTTAATATCTGTGTTTGAAAAAAGTTGTTCAACAGAAATTTAATATCGATCACATTTCTTAAATCTCACTTGCTCAAAGAGAGTTTTGACAAAGTACTTTAGTGACCAGTAGTTGAACAGTGTAGATGTAGATGTCCTTGTTTCAACGCTTTCAATTTTCATGATAAAAGTGTTAGCTTTCATGTTCTGGCACGACACTACACTAATGTATAAGTGATTGATAAAAGGAAGACTAGGAAGAGAATAGTGGAAGTTAAGACTAAATAAGTCTTTGTGGGTTTCACTATAACACTTACACTATATTCGCTGTTTCTTCCATAAATTATTAGGCTTACTAAATAGCCCGAAATAAATTACAACTATTACCCCAAATAATTAGCAATATTCGATTAATTTACAATGCATTCCTTTTAGAAAATCACACCGATTCACTTATCACAATGTAGGGTTAATCGTTTAGATACATTTCTGAATCTACACACGGAACATTTCACTTCATTATGTGTTTGTTGAATAAGGTATATATGGTAGACACTATAATAACTTAGCCATAAAATTATAAGGATATCTATAATAAATGCTAGTCGAAGTCAAACTTGTAATAAAAACAGTACATTCAGTTCAATATTCGTAAATAGGTCAAATTACCAAACATGATTTTTCTCACCATGAAACTGAATAAAAATGATTTATATAGCAAATAAGGCATTATGATGAGTGTTCAACAAAGCTGATGAGGATATTCAACCAACCACCCAAGTGGACAACTATCGTTACCAGTCTGTAATGATAATGCGCAAATACAATCTCTGTAGCAACAGTCGGTCTTCTAACTGAAATAAGATCATTTTTCTAGCAAATTAGATGTATGATGAATGCAGATTTTCAAACGACCTATCTAGAGACAAGATTAGATTCCGAAATTGTTGTGTTTTCACTTTTTGTAATCAGGCTATGCTCAACACCATGATTTTCACTGAGCGATAGTACGTAAAAAAGAGTTCACGTCATGAGTACAAACGTTTTGCCTTCGAATCACAATGGTTTATAGAATGGATAATTGGATAAAAAATACATTTCATTTAATTCTCTAGATATGCTGTCAGCCGAAAAAAATTGAATTAGCTTAGCCGTTACTCACAAACTGTGGGAACACATTTTCAGGACGAAAGTTCAGTAGATTGTTCAAATCGCCTGCATCACAAACTGATGTCATAACTGATTTCGGCAAAGACTAGTGTGCAGCGAACAACCTTTCTCTATTCGTTTGGAATTTCTCAATAGAACTATCATTTTTTACTTCAACTTGATTGACATCAATCCTCTAGACAATGCATCAGACTAAATGACTTGAATTTGTATTTTTATCAAACTTAATAATCCTCCAAAAACAGTAGTCACAATCTACATTGCACTTGGTCGCTCATCCAGGTGAACCCCCGTATTCGAAATTAAATTACCTCTCAGTACTTTTGACTGATATTGTTCATTTGACCTCTAGTGTGCGTACTTCTATGTCGAGCCTAAAGGGCTTGTCCTAGCCTTTGGACAATTGAATCAATCTATTGTTCCCGAGTTATTATTCGCTTGCCTTTTGACCTTGTCAAACTTTCGCTCATAGCTTGGTTGTTTTTGCTTGAGTATGTGTGTGCACACTTCGCTCGTCACATGTCTAGCTTATTTTGTCTGACTACAAACACTTATTCTTGTTTCATCTCATGGACTGGGCTCACTCTCGTTCTCCACTCCGCACCGATTTACCTTTACGCTTCGTATTCTCAAGCCTGTCAGCTTAAATTAATGCATAAAATGAAATAATCCGCAAAACCGTATTTGGCTTCTTATTACTGCCATCGCACAAACGAGATTCGCCTTAGTATGAATTAGGGAAACTGAAGGGACGGTTGATTTCATGGCATACTTAATTTTTCATATATATATATATATATTGGAGTCAGATCGTGTGCCATCAAAGTGGTGAGCCCTACTTCAAATTTAACGCAGCCACTAAAAACAACTAAGCATTATTTTCTGAATTGCATATGAAAATAACACGGTCCTTGTGAACAATATTGTACTTTTAACTACATTTCAAAAGCGTAAGTTTGGCCTCTTGTTTTTGAACATAAACAAACTAGCTACTTTATTGTATCCTAACCATTCGAAGACACGCAGTTCATGTGTTCCGATCAAATTGTTTAGTTTGAATATCTCAATTTCAAGAATATATATTTTGTGTTACATTAGTTGAATATTGTTGAGTGAGTTGATTTAGTTGCTTGATACTGATAGCATTCTCGTCACTGACCACCAATTTAGTAAGATGATAGTACTCCATTTGGGTGGATATTCAAGTCACTAATATTCTTTAATTACAGCTAGTTTATTTGAAATAATTCTATCTTAAGAATCAAAACACACAGATCCAACAAAATAATATTTAAAAACCGCTGGTGCAACCAATTAATCGAAGCTAATCACTTAACCAAAATTACATCTTCCACTTCAATAGCTGCTCATTTTCAACCTTAGTTTGTCTAAAACCTTTCTATCGTTTGACTTACCTGTTGACATGTTCACTAGCATGTGACATTGATCAAGTAAAATATTTGTCTAAACTGTGTTTAAACACTAACTCTCTCCTTTCTGTAATGTTCAAGTTTCATCCCCTTTCTCTGTTATCTTGAAATATTATGTGATGTTGAGTTTTGGTTATGTTTAAATGTCGTACAATTAAAAGGCTTGTTGTTCAAAGGACTATCAGTCAAAAATTATCAAGGATACAGATCAAAGGATGACACAAAGTAAAATGCTAATTACAAAGAAAATGTTTGCTGTTTAACGAACAGAAACATTTACAGACATTAAGATATGTGATCACTAAAACCTTCTGTTCGTTTCGGTGAATCTGTATATGAGTTCGTTCTAGTGTTCCACTACAAATAACAATTTTTGAAAATCTAGATTGTATGTAGTACTTGTAACTGTCATACCTGCATATGTACTAGCGTTTTCTATACTATTTTGATGTACTTTTACTGCCATTTATCATTATCTCTTTCTCTTTACAGGCCAGTATTCCAGTATTACGTAAGATAATTCAAAGGATTTTCCATGTAGTTGTGAATTTTGAAGCTACAACTAAACGTTGAAATACTTATGACCACAGTGATACTGAAATCCGATATTAGCTAGAAAATATATCATCGGATTTTTTGATTTCGTCAAATTTTTCAACTGACATTTAGTTTTCCCAATCAGTTTCTCAGAAAATAAACTATAGTTCATATAATTACGAAATGGTGGTTTGAATTTCATAATCGCACAAAAACTCATCACACTGAAGCTCTTGAATGAGTTAGTAAGATATCACTATCTTTCAAACAAAAACCGCACACATAAATTTATGATCTGATCCCATTTTTCGTAACCGACCACAAATCTCATAAAGTTTCAATCTGTTATTATAGCCAAACAGTTTACAAGTGACAAATTTACATCTTACAGCAAAATGTTTCAATAATTCGATAATTGTATAAAGTAAAATGTCAAAGAATTTTTATTGAACATCTGAATTACTAATTGAAAATGCATGTACATTTGGTGATGCATTATATTTACACACACTGGTTACTTTACAATAAAGTACTTACACCTGTAACCTCAGGTAAACTATTAGTGGAGTTTGAAGCATCGTGCAAAAAATCTCATACAACTAAAAAAAATGATCAAGTACTTGTGAAACAGAAAATCATTGAATAAATGCGTTTCTTCGTCAAACATTCACTAACTAAGTACGTAAATTGGCCTTATTTTTAAAAGACAATACACAGCTAGTTATGATAATCATTAACAAAACGAACTCATTGAAAACATTCGTTCCTTGTAATCATAAAGTTGAATGAACACAAAACTATGCGAAACAAAAAGAATATGAATCACAATGAACGAACAGTTTAATGACGGTCATTGAGCATATCACCAGGTCATGGGAGCATAATTTTGATTTAGAAAACAGTGTTTCGATTGTCTAAATGAGTTGCCTATTGTTTACTTGCTCATTAATTTATCCAGAGTGATATGTGACCTTTTCAAGTGATTTACCATCTGTTTTTTAGTTGTCTTGTGAGGACATGTCCCAATCACATTTACAATATGGATAGTAGTGATGTAATGAAAGTCATCATTTGAAATGAAGTTAATAACTTTGTGGATAAGTATAAAACAGCCATTGTTTACCAGAAAGTTGTAGTAATTTTCAAAATTCAAGTGAGACAATGAATTATTCAGTGCAGAATATTAGTGGTGTTTGCTCAGTTGCATTATCGAGATAAACTGAAAAACACAAAGAATTTTCACTATAGTGTAGTGGAGATTGTCCAGTTTCACTGAAATCTTGAATCGATCAGTGTTAGACCACCATTCGAAACCTGGAAGCATTAAATGGCCGTTTGGTCCTAGTATGAAGCTCATCAGCAGTGCGTATCCACGATACCGAAATGCAGAATTAGACTTAGGGCCTTCGGTCTAGCGCACAAACGCCTAATCTCTGGAACACTGAGTTGGTATCCGGCGGTGCTAATGTCTAACTTCAATCAATCCACAATACTAAGCGACCTCATCGATTGTCTTCGCTGGGTAACTGCCTCACACTTGATATGAATGAACTCCACTGTTCCCGACTTCTCACTAAAACTCTAAGAATTTCTTCAAGAAGCTAGTCACTAGTGAGCGTTCCGATTTGTTGATAGTGTTTCCTATTCGACATATACACATGGACTGCAATATGCTGTACACCACAAACTATAAACAGCCGTTTTGTACAAATAACCAACCCAATCGAGTGAGAAATCAAAAAACTAACCTAAGAAATCAGAAAGTGTCTAATTTTATTTCAACTGAACTGTTGCATTTTGTTAGCAAGATATCAGAGCCTACCCATTGCAATCATGAGGTAACCAGACAAAACATGAAGAGGGACATTATATTATACATGTATGAATGTGTCCAAAACAGTGAAGAACATAAAATCATAGTACAAGGAATAAATGGTATCTGCGGCAAGTAAATACACATGGACAAAACTAGTAGAAATTCAAATTTTATATATATATATATATATATATATATATATATATATATATATATATCACCTAGACCGATTACGAACATGATATCATAATATATTATCTTGCTGAGTTAGTTCACTGTACGACTTGAGTTTGTATCAGCCAGTGGGTGGAAGTACAAACCTCTATCTCAATTCAAATCATGTACATGATTTCTACATTTAATATCCCTAAAATCAGATCGACCACCGACTACAATAAAAATGTACAAAATCGTAATGATGACTAATACCTCTGTATAAAGATTACTTCTAAATGAATTCAATTTAATGATTAATGTCAATCATCCAGATCATCCATCAGCTACCTAAAATTCACAATTAAACAGGTTTGCTCATTGTTCTTTAAGAATTAAATAAACATTGTCATTTGGCGGCAGTAACTTGTATGGAACACGAACAACGATTTGATCAGAATAGGTATAACAAAATTCGAAGAAATATCGACTCTTCTTTTCCAGTCACTTCGCAAATTAATGCAAAGATTATTTTCGATTCTAAATCATTATTTCCAAGTGTGAAAAATACATATTGAAACGATTTTGTTCGAAGATTTAAATTAAAGTAAGGGATGTGACAAATTATTTCCAATGAGTATCACATACAGAATAATATTGTGGAGCACCGGTAGTATCCGAAGACCGTTCATCAAAAAAAATATGCTTACCTAAACAGAAACTCCTATGGACAATTAAGCATAAAATGAATAAATCTCATCCAGGGGAAAATAAAATATTTCAACTAGAAGTAATGAAATAAAAGTTAAGAAAATGTAAAAATTTATGAATGGCAATAATAATTGGGAAACGTTCACTTTAGTACATGTAAGTCGAATTTGCATGGAACAATTATCAACGGCGTCAGGGAATCGCGTAGTGCTGGAATTCGGCTGCGTGTTTATCATCTTGAACCGTAGAAATTATCGATCATTCTGTATTTGTTGTTTCTAACGACTTCTAAGATATGATTCTTCTTGTAGACTTGAAAACGAAAAGTGTAGATAGTGGTTAATTGGGTTACTTATTCACATTGTGGTATTTTCAAAAGCTAATCAATGACTGATAACTGGACTTTTGAATTACATTACCAGTCATAATAAGTGATATTTCGCAGATTAATCAACAGTAAAAAACAAAACTAGATTGAATTCTATCAAGTTTTGAAGGAGTAACAATCTATGACAGCTTTAAAGTTATTAAACAAATGTTCAACAAGTGATAATCTGCATTAGTGATGAGAGATCATCATCATCATAAACCTCGTGAACGGCAGGATAAATATGCTTTAGCTCCATATAACTCATTTGTTGATTTCAAAATTTGCATATTTTGGAAACAGACAGATTCATCGCTCAGTTATTATATATGGTGCTAATTTTTCTAGCCGAAAATCCGTAGTAAGAAAAGATAAATAGAATATTCGGAAAAGAATACTGTCACTCACACCATCCCTTGTTGGGAGGACAGCATTTGCGGGCATAAATGCCACTCAGTCGAACACCTGCCTTCGGAACTCAAATTTATTCTTTCCATACAAAATGTTTTCCAACCAACCTCTATAAAATGACTGACCACTATTATTTGCTAATTACTCAAAACAGTATAATGGGAGCGCGATAACTCATAATGGAATCATTTTAAGACACCTTCTCACTTCCGTTAATCTACAGTGTTTCGAAATGACCACACAAAAATATACATAGTGTGGTGGTATATATAAGATAGTATTTAATTGCACATCAATCACAACGATCGTCATTTTTATACTAGACTGAATAAATCATTAGAATAAACCTTGAGGCATGGAGCTCACAATAAGATGGATTTCCACAAAACTGAAGGTCACCGCTTCACGACTACTTCAATTTGTTCACAATTTATCACGTGATAAATGTTAGGTCAATTTCAGCAATAATAAGCGTATTTTTTATGTTGCGAATCGTGCCATCATTCTTTCGAGTTGTAGATCACTAGTCTAGTCAATGAAACAGAAGCCTTTAATTGAAATAGTCACGAAACCGATGATCCCAACACAAAATGTTTCATTATTTATGTTTGATTTAGAGTTTGACCCATCCATAAACTCGTGATGAAACTACATTATTCTCCCAATCGAAATATTCCTTTGTTTAAATTTTTGGATGAACAAGTCACAAAATTATTGCTTTCATCCCCCGGTCAAATAAATTATCATTATGATCTTCACATGTAAAACTATTTTCCACAGTTCTGCCTGTTAACATCAAGGTATATTTCATCACTACAAGTATTGCGTATCACAGAAACTGACAATAAGTCATCTGTGATATTTTCTATCACATTACACTTTAACGGTCATAATGTTTACTGCATTTAATTTTATCTGTTCATTGAAAACTAACGAGTAAACTCAAAAGTACACTGATATTGTGGGAGATTGCCAACAATATAAATTTCTATGTTGGAAGTACAATTGTATTAAGTAAGTAATTAATGATGATAATAACTTGCAGTACTAAGTTTTCTTTGTATTCCACTTATTTATCATTTTTAAATTTTTGTTTTACTACTATACGGACTAGTGAATAAATAAGCAAATAAATAAAGATAATATCTCTTCAAGGTTTGTTTCTATTGTCCTGAAAACTATGTTTTCCTTTTTTGAATATAGAACAATGTATTCATTTCTGTTATCCAGTAATCCACAGTTTATTTTTGTGTGATTCAATGTTGCTGACGTCGGAAAACGGAAAATAAATGAAAACAATAAGTTAAAAACAAAAGTTGATCGTGGTTTGATAAATTTTTTTTGCTATTTGTAATAACAATAAAGTAGAAAATTCAAATGCTTCAATTTTCTGAAATCCACTGTTCGATAATAATAATAATAATAATAATAATAATAATAATAATTTGTGATCATGCCGGTCATCATTCAAAACGATTTTAACAGAAACGGATGTTCAAATTTATTGAATCGTGTAAATGGTGAATGTAAGAGAATGTGATGCAGTATATGACTTCATGATAATGGTTAACAAAACAAAACACAATAAGGACTGAGTGAAGTTAGATTATCAAATTTGTTTGTGAATGAGTAGCCAATGATGTTAGAGTCATGGTCAGATAGATGATCAACTAATCAGCTCTAATATAAAAGCAAAAGTGAGCAAAGAAGTTGTTCCGTATTTACTGATGATTCTATAGTCGAAGTTACAGATGAATTAGTTCATACTTTAAACATCTCACAACGACGTTACGCTTTTAACTATTACAAGCGTTCTATCCTATGGTAATGAGCATGACTTGATTTCCGTCAATTATTCCATGTGATGGTGTAACGATTAACTGACAACAGTTGGTTATCAAATTTCCAATGCTTCATTTCTAAAACTGACAGCTACATACTATGTAATATAAGATCAACTAATTGTCGAGTAGAATAAGGAATCTGATATGTTTCAGTAACAAGAGAGTCTAGTCAACATAGGATTCGATATTTTTTATTTATGACGTCAGTTATTAACATTTGTATTGATCTACTTGATTCTCAGATTATGTAATAATCGACCTGAAAATACGTTGTTTGTGTCCTAAATTATAGCTCATAGATAACATTGTACATATACGATTTAGTAGTCTGTAGATTCCGATTATCGAAAGTCTGATATTATGCATAAATATTTAA